AAGACTCTCGATCGGTTTATTATTGTATGAACTTTAAATTTGATAGAAAATTGGTGGCCGAGTAGGCAAGCGTCTCGGTTAGCAACTTAGTGCTCGTGGGTTTAAATCTCAAGCGCGGTAGAGTTTTTAATAAAAAGCCGTAAGCCTTAGATGCTAGTGCTTTAAGGCTTTAATCTTAGAATTCATTCTCTGACCCATTTATAACCATAGGATAAAATTATTTTGCGCATTCCTTACATAGGAGAAGATATTTTAAATGCGTTCATTCGAAAATATATATAGTATAGGAATCAGGACCTGGTGAATTCATTTTTTCTTAATAATAGCAGCGATATGGGTATCAAAGAAAAAGACTTGGAAAGGAGTAGAAGGCGACAAGGTCAATATGTTAATTCTAAATTCATTTTGGCCGACGTCACGTGATGGTAGATTAATTTTCTCTAAATAATACCTTCTAGCGAAGTGAATGGTGAAACATAAGCATTCTATCCCCTTCACTTTTTTGTTTGACAATAAATAAAAGCATGGATCGTCAAAAATTTTAATGGTAAAGGATTTTCAATTCAACTTTTATTCGCGTTGATTTCCAATTCCTTGTAATGCACGTTCGCATTTTCTGCATTATTGGCAATCAATAGAACTGTTATTGTAATTGATGAAATGATTCAAATGAGAGGACTCTTTCACGTGTTGTTGCAAATTTGCATAAGAGAAAAGAACAATTCCATAACTGTAAACTTTAAAGACAACGAAAAGGGAATTTTAATCCTCGCAAACAATTTGTTGTCTTTTGAGATAAGGTATTTTTAGCAGTGAATCAAGTTATTTGTTTTAATTAAAAGCAAACGCCATGGCAGCGCTGAAGGTGACGAAGATGATGCTAATACTGATTGGCAATGTACTGTCAATAAACGGATTCAACTTGGATCATTTCAATTAAACAAAACGAAAAACATAAGTCAAAGATTAATGTTAATCAACCATCCAGCCAGCAACCAAATTTGCATTGCTGCAAATAATGGTCAAGAAGTTGATGATCACAAGAACGGAACAATCACCAATATATGTATAGCAGATGTGATGGACCGAAACAATATGATTAAATGTGACTACCTTAAGGAAGTGGAAGTGAGAGCAATAAAAGCTCTGCCTAAAGTGGGAGTTATGTTATTAACTGGATCATTAGTCCGATCAATGGAAATGCTCTGAAATAATGATGGTGCCTAAGCCCGATAAACTAGAGAATGACATAATTTCTTCCCGGCCATTAAGCCTTCTGGCCACCTCTGCGAAGATTAGAGCCAACATTGACTGACAAGAACAGATTGCCTAAATGTTAATTCAGGTTTCGCTATAAGCATTGCACGCCTGAGCAAATTTTATCGAATCGTTCAAGAAATCAGTAACGCGTTAGAAAATAAACACAGCACTGTGCAGCAGTGTTCATGCACCCGAAACAAACAGGATTCCTTTCTACGCAGTTCGTCGTTCCTTTACAAAATCGCTCCATTTTTTTTTTTTTTTTTTTTTTTGTTAAAGCAAACAAGAAAATATCAGACGTCTGCTAAAGGGATAGGGGTTCAGGCCATGCTATGCTCCATACACTATATTCATGTTAGATATGCAGCTGGTTGAAGATGCTACTGTCGCTACATATGTGGATGATACCGCTTTAATTGCAAGCAGTGAACGCAAGACCAAAGCTTCAACTGTCGTTCAAATGCACCTCAATAAGATCTGTAGATGGCTAAGCAAGGGAAATATATGCATTAATGCTGAACCTATATTATGTTTAATTTGAATAAAAGGCGATTACATTGCTATATATCTTGCCGGGCGTCCAAATTCTCAAATCAAGCTATGCTAACTACCTGAACGCATTTGGATATAAAAACTAAACGTTTATGTTGACTGATCACGATTAAGTTTGGAAAATAAATTGTTGTTCTTGTTAGTCCAGGTGAGCCATTCACATTGACACCAATGCGAAATACTTATGATCACAAAGTTTCGCTGCGCAAATATAGTGACATCGGCAAGATGTAGTGTATTACGAGCTGCTAAAACCCGAATGGACCTCCTGCTTGAGATGGCTACCGACATCAATTGGCCAAATTGAACGGTGTATCGTTGCGAAAGATAGCTGCATTAGGGGTGAACCGAAGGAAAGCCATTCTCTTGCAGCTCAAATGGGAAGTTGTATCGCATCCGATGCGCTCTGATTACGATCTGTACATCGATGTAGATCGATGTAGCGTGACTTGGCTGCCACGCGTTGTCGAAATGCTGAAAAAATGCGAAAATAGATCGATGGTTGGATCGCTGCCAAATCAATATCGTTCTTACAACACGGTATCGGTGACGTCTTAGAAAATTTTTCTCAATGAATGCATTGATCAAAATACATGCAGTCACATGCCACATGCCACATGCCACATATAACAACAACTACATATCTGCGTTGAGAATAAAGGTAATGTAAATTTAAGGGATTTGTCCCCCTTTTTGCTCACTATTGCTCAATAGATGAAAAAAAAAAAAAAAAAAAAAAATGTTGCATGCGTGGTGCGCACAGTCACGGACTAAGTTAGAAATAAATTGGAATTCAGATTTTATCGCTGATCGCAGGCGTGTACGGGCGGGAATCCGATGAAGCCCGTTTTTGGATCAAACATGAGAGCGATTTTGCCGAATAGTTGGTTATCAGTTTTTGGGAAATATCTTCACAAGATCGTAAATTATTGACAAAAAATATGAAAAACTGTCCAGCTTGACTCTCGAGATTGTCTCTGCTTCTAATCAGCCGTAAGCGTGTATGTGGATAGATTGCAATCATTTTTTTCACATTGAATTCGCAATCGATCAAGGCATGCTTCCGTCAAATACCTTTCACCTTTCTGTCTTCATCCTTTCTGTCTTCATCCAGCACTTCCCTGCTAACGCTCTAACGTTAATGTTATGTATGATAATATTTTAAGTTTTCCTTTTCTTATTTTAAAAAATCTTATAAACATATTTTCAATTATGTTTAAATACTGAGGAAAGACTTGTGCTCTCCTTATTCAGGAAACAAGTGCATTACAGTGCTTTGCATTATTATGCAATATTTTGAGAAAATTTACAAACTACGAGATATTAATGGCATCGAAAGGTGCATCTGTGCTCCGTTAAGTCGACACAATTTGTTGTTCGCAATTATTCATCGAAAGTTCACTGCGCACACAATTCATTTTTTCGTTCCTTTCATCGCGCGTCAAGAAGGCATCTTAGAAGTTCCTTACTCCTAATATTTTCCGATCTGAATACAAGGTCTATGTAACAATCTATTATTATTAAGTTTAATAATTTTGTTGCTTTATGTTTACCATTCTTTTGTTGCTTATGTTCGCTTTGATCCGAATCATCAAAAAAATGTCCTTTATATGTTTATATTCTATGCCGCTTGCCATGGCATAGACGCAACTTTTATAATAACGATCGATTCTAAAAAACAATTTCAAGTTCAATGCCTGTCCGTTCGTCCACCTAATATATTCCTTTGTACAATCGATAGCACGCAATTTTGGGGATATTTTGGTGAAATGTGATACACCGACGTGTTTTGGCCCACGAACCAACGCTATTGCAAATGATTTGGATCGGCCAGTTTTTCCATCTTTCGCTGTATTAAACACAGGGATGTAGGGTATTTAATAGTCGACCTTGCGCAACTGTAATGTTGTTTTTATTGCTATAATTCGATGCGTGATGTTTATGTATTCATTGTTCTACATGGGTACGTGCATATCTTTTCGGATATCTTGTGGGCGAACACGCCTATGTGCGTGTGGATGCGTATTACAACAATTCACACACAGCTCTCCTTTGCAATTAATTTTTTTACCCCCACCCAGCATACTTTTTTGCGTTTCGTTAACCATATTAACGCAAGTCTTCTTTTGATTTCTTTTGGCTTTTTAATGCAACACACATTCGTTATCGAATATAATCGAATATAACAATCGTGTATGCAAATGCAAGATTACATAATTCTATTATATAAATGACAACAGTACAGTTGGCTCTACTCTACTTAACTCGTCCTTAAATTAGAAAAGTGGTTTGATTCAAAGAACTCTAAAAGAAAACTCTGCCCCGTTTAGTTATCTTTATTAACTATATTGCGCTGTCAAATTCTTGTTTATATGCTAAGCATTTATCAACGTACGCAACAGACGCAAAGGTCATACAAATCGTTCGCGATGAATACATCCAAAAATTCGTTTCTTTAAGGAATATGGAGTGTACTCGTTTTAAATCCTTCGCGCTTTTACTGTTCAAATTTCAGAATAATTTCCTTTGGATGTGCGAATGGATGTTTTGATCATTTCGAAAAATGTTTTTTTTTTTTTCCTTTCTTTTCACCGATCTACTTGTGAACGGTTCAATTTTTCATCACAAGTACTTTAACGCATCTTGAAGATGACTACATTTATTTACTTTTTTTTTCTCATTTTTTGAATAGAGTAACATTTGGTTTGTGTCTTGAAGAACTTTGCAATAAGTGCAGTAATGGAATGAAACAAACGCGAAAATTGCAACTCTTCCATCATTTTAATACGAATAATAAAAGCCTCTGCCTGTACATTCATCACGAAAGTGATAGCATTATTCATTGAAAGTAGACCTCTAGTGTTAAACTTTTGATTTAAAATTTAAGCTTTTTTTTGTTTGTAATATATAGAATTTTTTGATGGGAAAATTCGTGTAAAGGGAAAGAAAAAAAAAAGGCATATTGAAGTAAATAAAA